GCATGTCAGGACTGGTGAAAAATTTCGTATTTTGTGGGTTTCGCGGATGGGCGGGGCAAAATGGCACGCTAGCACCACCTAGAAAATTGGAAAAAATTAGCCCCTCGTCCACGTTCAACCTACATGCACGAAATTTGGTGGGGACGTGTATCATATCAAGACGCACAAAAAAGCCTCAAGAACCCATACCCTAAACTCGACAGGAGGTCCGCCATTTTGAATTTGGCGGCCATTTTTGGACGATTTACAGACTCCGTACTTTAACGAACTCCTCCTAGGGATTTTGTCGGATCGACTTAAAATTTCTGCTGTGCCTTCTAAAGGCATTGACGATGTAAAGTTGTGCTATCTGCGCGTTTTCGTCGATGGGCGTGTCCGTGGCGTCAAAGATTCGCCATGAAACAGGAAGTTGTAGTAACTTGGCTGTAAATGCCCAGATCTGCACGAAATTTTACACATTTGACAAGAGTCCCGCCCTGAACAAATCTACATGCCGACATTCACCCACAGTCATAGCGCCACCTGCTGGCAACAGGAAGTGACCTTTAACGAAGCAGCCCCCGCCACTTGTTTGACCGAAATGTACGAAATTTCTGTGGTACATCTACCATGACCAGACGCACAAAAAAGCCTCAAGAACCCATACCCTAAACTCGACAGGAAGTCCGCCATTTTGAATTTGGCGACCGATTTGGGACGATTTACACACTCCGTACTTTAACGAACTCCTCCTAGGGATTTAGTCGGATCAACTTCAAATTTCTGCTGTACCTTCTAAAGGCATTGACGATGTAAAGTTGTGCTATTTGCGTGTTTTCGTCGATGGGCGTGTCCGTGGCGTCGATGATTCGCCATGAAACAGGAAGTTGTAGTAACTTGGCTGTAAATGCCGAGATCTACACGAAATTTTACATATTTGACAAGAGTCCCGCCCTGAACAAATCTACATGCCGACATTCACCCACAGTCATAGCGCCACCTACTGGCAACAGGAAGGGTCCTTTAACGAAGCAGACCCCGTCGCATGTTTGAGCGACATGTAGGAAATTTCTGTGGTACATCTACCATGTTCAGACGCACAAAAAAGTCTCTTGGAGCAATGCCCTAAACTCAACAGGAAGTCGGCCATTTCTAATTTTACCGCCGTTTTTGGATGATTTACTCATTACGTACTTTAACTAACTCCTCCTAGGCATTTAGTCAGATCGACTTCAAATTTCTGCTGTGCCTTCTAAAGGCATTGACAATGTAAAGTTGTGCTCTCTGCGCGTTTTCATCGATGGGCATGTCCGTGGCGTCGATGATTCGCCATGAAACAGGAAGTTGTAGTAACTTGGCTGTAAATGCCCAGATCTGCACCAAATTTTACACATTTGACAAGAGTACCGCCCTGAACATATCTAAATGCCGACATTCACCCACATTCATAGCGCCACCTGCTGGCAACAGGAAGTGACCTTTAATGAAGCAGCGTAGCACATTCACAGCCGCACCGGCTGAGCTCCAGAATATGCAACGCAGCGGCCTCACACCCCGACGTACTACAGGTGCGAGGGCCCGCCCATCGCTGCTTGCAGCTTTAATTAGGGCCCGAGCACTAACAGTGCGAGGACCCTATTGAAACTGTTAGGATTATTTTTTTTTTCTTTTTTCATTTTTCTGCAAAGTAAGCGCCATTTTCGGGGCCGCAACATGCTAAAAAACTCACCAAATTTGGCACGCATGTCAGGACTGGTGAAAAATTTCGTATTTTGTGGGTTTCGCGGATGGGCGTGGCAAAATGGCTCCCTAGCGCCACCTAGAAAATTGCAAAAAATTAGCCCCTCGTCCACGTTCAACCTACAAGCACGAAATTTGGTGGGGCCGTATATCATATCAAGACGCACAAAAAAGCCTCAAGAACCCATACCCTAAACTCGACAGGAAGTCGGCCGTTTTGAATTTGGCGCCCGTTTTGGGACGATTTACACACTCCGTACTTTAACTAACTCCTCCTAGGGATTTAGTTGGATCGACTTCAAATTTCTGCTGTGCCTTCTAAAGGCATTGACGATGTAAAGTTGTGCTATCTGCGTGTTTTCGTCGATGGGCGTGTCCGTGGCGTCGATGATTCGCCATGAAACAGGAAGTTGTAGTAACTTGGCTGTAAATGCCCAGATCTGCATGAAATTTTACACATTTGACAAGAGTCCCACCCTGAACAAATCTACATGCCGACATTCACCCACAGTAATAGTGCCACCTGCTGGCAACAGGAAGTGACCTTTAATGAAGCAGCCCCCGTCGCATGGTTGACCGACATGTAAAAAATTTCTGTGGTACATCTAACATGGCCAGACGCACAGAAAAGTCTCTTGGAGCGATGCCTTAAACTCAACAGGAAGTCGGCCATTTCTAATTTTACCGCCATTTTTGGATGATTTACTCATTACGTACTTTAACTAACTCCTCCTAGGGATTTAGTCGGATCGACTTCAAATTTCTGCTGTGCCTTCTAGAGGCATTGACGATGTAAAGTTGTGCTATCTGCGCGTTTTCGTCAATGGGCGTGTCCGTTGCGTCAAAGATAAGCCATGAAACAGGAAGTTGTAGTAACTTGGCTGTAAATGCCCAGATCTGCACGAAATTTGACACATTTGACAAGAGTCCCGCCCTGAACAAATCTACATGCCGACATTCACCCACAGTCATAGCGCCACCTGCTGGCAACAGGAAGTGACCTTTAACGAAGCAGCCCCCGCCGCTTGTTTGACCGACATGTACGAAATTTCTGTGGTACATCTACCATGACCAGACGTACAAAAAAGCCTCAAGATCCCATCCCCTAAACTCGACAGGAAGTCCGCCATTTTGAATTTGGCGACCGATTTGGGACGATTTACACACTCCGTACTTTAACGAACTCCTCCTAGGGATTTAGTAGGATCAACTTCAAATTTCAGCTGTACCTTCTAAAGGCATTGACGATGTAAAGTTGTGCTATCTGCGTGTTTTTGTCGATGGGCGTGTCCGTGGCGTCGATGATTCGCCATGAAACAGGAAGTTGTAGTAACTTGGCTGTAAATGCCCAGATCTGCACGAAATTTTACACATTTGACAAGAGTCCTGCCCTGAACAAATCTACATGCCGACATTCACCCACAGTCATAGCGCCACCTAGTGGCAACAGGAAGTGACCTTTAACAAAGCAGCGAAAAATTTCACAGCTGCACCGGCTGAGCCGCAGAATATGCAACGCGGCCGCCTCACAGCCCAACGCGCTACAGGTGCGAGGGCCCGCCCATCGCTGCTTGCAGCTTTAATTAATTTATTTATTTATTTTTTCTGCAAAGTAAGCGCCATTTTCGGGGCCGCAACATACTCAAAAACTCACCAAATTTGGCACGCATGTCAGGACTGGTGAAAAATTTCGTATTTTGTGGGTTTCGCGGATGGGCGGGGCAAAATGGCACGCTAGCGCCACCTAGAATATTGGAAAAAATTAGCCCCTCGCCCACGTTCAACATACATGCACGAAATTTGGTGGGGACGTAAATCATATCAAGACGCACAAAAAAGCCTCAAGAACCCATACTCTAATCTCAACAGGAAGTCCGCCATTTTGAATTTGGCGGTCATTTTGGGACGATTTACACACTCCGTACTTTAACGAACTCCTCCTAGGGATTTATTCGGATCGACTTCAAATTTCTGCTGTGCCTTCTAAAGGCATTGACGATGTAAAGTTGTGCTATCTGCACGTTTTCGTCGATAGGCGTGTCCGTGGCGTCGATGATTCGCCATGAAACAGGAAGTTGTAGTAACTTGGCTGTAAATGCCCAGATCTGCACGAAATTTTACACATTTGACAAGAGTCCCGCCCTGAACAAATCTACATGCCGATATTCACCCACAGTCATAGCGCCACCTGCTGGCAACAGGAAGTGACCTTTAATGAAGCAGCCCCCGCATGTTTGACCGGCATGTTCTGTGGTACATCTACCATGTCCAGATGCACAGAAAAGTCTCTTGGAGCGATGCCTTAAACTCAACAGGAAGTCGGCCATTTCTAATTTTACCGCCATTTTTGGATGATTTACATTACGTACTTTAACAAAATCCTCCTAGGCATTTAGTCGGATCGACTTCACATTTCTGCTGTGCCCCTTCTAAAGGCATTGATGATGAAAAGTTGTGCTATCTGCACGTTTTCGTCAATGGGCGTGTCCGAGGCGTGGACAATTCGCCATAAAACAGGAAGTTGTTGTAACTTCAGTGTACATCCTCAGACCTGTGCGAAATTATTGAAAACTGGCACAATGCTTATTCTTTGAAGTCTTGCTATTAGATTTATCTGAGCCAAAGGCCTATTCTACAGCTTGCAAAGCAGGACTATATTGAAACTTCTTTTATTTCTTCTTTTTCTTCTGCCTCCTTATCCTTGTTTCTGTGGGCCAGCTTTAAATGCTACATGTAAGATTAGAGCTTGAAAATCCCCCACTTTTTCACTTTCCTGACATTGACATTGTACAACGGTATTTGTTTGAATTGTGATTTTTATTTTCTTGCCATTTATCTTTCTCAAATTTAATTAAATTAAACATAATGTGTGTTGATTTTTTTTGCACAACAAAGAAAAAACATAACTGTTTAAACACTGTCAAAGGGTAATTTGATTTTTTATTCACAGGTATTTCTTGTTACAGCAACTTTTTAAGTTAATTGGGGCAAATTTGTAAGTTGTGGTGATCAAATCATTATTTAAATGTAGTGTAATAGCTATAAAATAACCACAAATTCTAAAATGTTTTTAAAATTACCTTTATTTTATACAAATAAAGATGCCGTTTTATTTAAAGTGTATTCCTAGCATATAAAATAACCTGAAATATGACCTTAAATCTTGCAAGCACTATAATTTCCTGCTCCAACAATGTGACCTTGAGACTTTACCCCAAACTCTACTTGGAGGATTGTTCTGGAAATTTGTATACAATAATCTACACTTCAGTGTCAACTCCATGTCTGTGTTAGAGTTAGTCTGAGCACTGTGCATTTGTAAAGAAATACACACTTACCATGAAATTCCAGTCAATGTTAATCTTGTCAGCTAGGCCCAGCAGAAACAGGGCGAGGTATGCAGATGAACAGATGAACATGGTTACAGACACAAACATCACCCATCCCTGCAACAATGGCACGGACACATTTGTTGATGCTACTAATATCCACACCAATCCTCCAAACACCTAGTGTTTGAAAAAAAGAAGACGAAATTGCTGAATTCAAAGATTGTGTCACATAATTGGTGTGTACAGACATAATTAATATAGTATTACTGTGTTCTCTGTCAGACTATAAAGTATTAATAAGCCATATTGTTATGATTTCCATTTTTGGGCCATGTTTTAGTTATCAAGGGGTGTTCTGCCATAATAAAATGGACACACCTTTGTGAGTTACAGAAAATTAAACCCAGTAAGTCTTGAAATAGCTACAAACAACAATACTTACAATTTCCAAACAAATCAGGGCCCCGGAATACGTCCTCAGTATTTCCACTCCGACGGGTAGAGAAATAGTCGGTGCTGGGAAGGAGGTAGTGGCAGGGTTCGGTGTTTCCGCCATCCTTATTCAGCTCCACGAGCACAGGTTGAACAAAAGACTAATGCATATGAGAATTCTGCTGGAGTCATGTATCAGGAACAGGTCTGACAGGTGTGTGGCCACTCCCATTTTGTTCGGCCTTTTCTCACTCCCACAGTTCAGCCAAATCCCTGGGACTGAGGGCATGCAGTTTCATTTACTGTGAATGAATACCTCCTTTAAAAAATAGGTAGGCCTATTTAAATACCTATTTAAAATGAAGGTATTTGAAACGTGCCTCTTGTGAAACGTGATTTTTCTTCTTCTGTTTGGTCACGTACAAAATAAATTAATTGTTTCACAACTTTGGTTAATGATTAATGCACATGCTTAGGTTCAACATACCTGAGTAAATATTATGTTACACACTAAAATGATTATAAAGAAAAGCCCAGAAAAAGCAGAGAAAACTGTGAATGTGCTGCGAATTAGCCTTGTATTACTGACATGGGATTGCTTCGAGAACATAATCTATGTAATAATGTATTTGTCCCTAGCAAATAAACTATACATTTGTGGAGTTATAAAATCCATTAATGGAGTTTAAAATGATTTGTTTTATTTGAATTAGGTACTGAATGAAATCAGTAGCTATATACTAACAATTGAACTAGAAACATATCGAAAGGGGTAATAGGCTTTAAAAGGTCATTGTTGATAGAAAACCTTCACCATCCATGAATAGAGATGAAGTGAATAGACCTATTTTCGTAAATTTTAGTTTCATGCATAAGACCACTGCTTTAGTGACTCTGTTTAGTTAACAATGATGAGAGATATACATCTGAATACTGCTAATGTGCACAGAACATTTGAAGTTTTTTCAGGTATTTAGTATTTATCAGAGCTACTAAAAGTATGAGATGTTCCATTTCGTAGTCACTCCGAGTTACGTCGGATGACAGAGAATGGGGGTCCCCCGTGTAATCACGCCACCTTCACAGCTGTCTTCCAGTGCCCTGCGCAAGTCTGAACCCCTGTCGCACTTAGCTTACGGACGAGGAATCCTACTTGACACAGGAATACCAAGGTACACTGGGGAGCATATCCCAGAGGAATATGCCGCAGTATGCCTACCCGTAGGGAGGATTTAAGGATACACATATGGCCCAAGGGGGCTTCATATGGAGAAACACTGGAGTCACACCCATAGGGTGGCTAGAACCTTAACTCCAGGAGTGGCAAGGTGGCACATGCTCAGAGAGGCTTACAGTGGAGAATACACATGTGGAGGTTACAATCAGGAACCATGCACACGGAGGCACCCAGCCGACGCGCAGGCAACAGACACTGGCACCAGCATCAACAGTGCTGGAGGACTCAGGGCTTCAATGGAAGGCGCAGCTGAGGAAAGTACCGGGCTTATCCAGTCCGTGGAGTGGAATGGCGAGCAAGCAAAGACACCTGAGCGGGTCCAGTACTGGCCGGTTGAGCGAGTACAAGAGAGGACACAGGCTCCACTTGGAGGTTATAGAATCTCGCGAATGTGTTAGGTGTCGCCCAGCCTGCAGCTCTGCAGATGTCTGCTAGCGAGGCGCCATGCGCTAGAGCCCAAGAGGAAGCCACACTCCGGGTGGAGTGGGCCGTCACACTAGGGGGCACGGTCGACCTTGCTGCTGGTAAGCCAAAGCAATGATGTCCACTATCCAGTGGAGCCCTTCCCTTCTGGCTCCCACCATAACAGACAAAGAGCTGGTCTGAGGTCCTAAAACAACGCGTTCTGTCGACGTAGGCCCAGAGGGCACGTACTGGACAGAGCAGTGCCAAGGCTGGGTCGAAGGGAGGCCTCTGCACAGCACTTAAAACCACTAAGGTCCCAAGAGGGTACGAGAGGAGGGCGAGGAGGATTCAGTCTCCTTGCTTGCCTCAGGAACCTGATGATCAGGTCGTGCTTCCCCAACGACTTACCTTCGACTGCTTCATGGAATGCGTCAATTGCAGCCACATAAACTTTTAGGGTGGAGGGAGACAGCCTTCGCTCCAACCCTTCTTGCAGGAAGTAAAGCACGACACTGATCGAGCATCTCCGGGGGTCTTCTCGGCGAGAAGAGCACCAGTTGATGAAGAGGTTCCACTTCAACGCATAGACGTGTCTAGTGGTCGAGGCTCTAGCGGAAGTGATGGTAGCCGAGACCCGCAGGTGGCAGGGTACTCAAACCTGCCTCATCCCATCCAGGAGCCACACATGCAGTCTCCACAGATCGGGACGAGGGTGCCACTGGGTGCCCCGTCTCTGAGAGAGGAGGTCCTTCCTCAGAGGAGTTGGCCAAGGAGTAGCTGTCGTGAGGAGTACGAGTTCGGAGAACCAGGTCTTGGTGGGCCAATAAGGGGCTACCAACAAGACCTGCTCCTCATCCTCCTTGATCTTGCACAGAGTCCGTGCGAGAAGGCTCACTGGGGGAAACGCATACTTGCGTTGACCCCGTGGCCATTTGTGCGCCAAGGCGTCTGTGCCGAGCATGCCCTCGGTCAGAGAGTAATACAGGGCGCAATGGGATGAGTCGTGGGAAGTGAACAGATCTATCTGTGCTTCCCTGAACTGGTCCCATATCAGCTTGACCGGCTGGGAATGGAGTCGCCATTCGCCAGAGATTGGCCGGATCCGTGACAGCTTGTCGGCTGCCAGGTTCCGCTCTCCTTGAATGTAAATAGCGCGAAGGGACCTCAGGTGCTTCTGACTCCATAATAGGAGGTGGCGTGCGAGTTGCGAGTTGGAGGGACAGTCTCGATTGCACCCTTCGCCAGCAGGGTAGCAATCTCCGCTCTCATGATCGGGGCATTGCCACCGACCACCGTAAAGCGAACTCCCCGGAAACGGGGAGGAGACCGTGCGAACTGAATCGCATAGCCGAGCCTGATCGTTCGGGCGACCCAGCGAGATAGGCCAGGGAACTCTAACCAAGCTCCCAGGAACCGATCGAGCCGGGTCATACGAACCATAGGCGTCCCCTCGGAGGGGCAGCAGGGTGGAGAGACCAGCAGACACGGGGGTGTTAGAGGGGGACGACACGCTCCCTTCCGCTCTCTCAGAGACAGAGAAGAATGAGTGACGCAAGGGGACGTCTTGCACACTCATTCTGCTCTGTGTGCTAAGTGATAGTGTCAAGTCTTTCTTTAACCAACTCAGGGTGCTGCCCACCCGTGGGTGAGCAGCGGGGAGCTGAGAACAAAAGATTCTCACCCGGCCCTCCACCGGGGGGAGGGGGCCTGCTACCACCTCCTGGAAAGGACTTGATGCCATCACTGAGCAGCCCGTCTCAGGAACGCCGCTTTGCCTGGCGTTTAGCGGGGCGCGGAGCCTGAGGGAGCTTTGGCGCCTTCCTGCGGCCTCCTCCACGGACCGGGTGAAGGCTGCTGCTGTGGCCTGCGGGAGGGAGGGGAGCCGCAGGGGGGCTGCGAGCAGACTGAGGCGGCTGTACCGACGGCTGGGTGGAGGCACTAGCTGGCCGTCTGGGCAGGATGTGTTTGATGGTCTGCTTCTGGGCGGTCGAGAACTGCTGGGCAAAGTCCGCACCGCCGAAAAGGCCAGCCTGGGAGAGGGGGGCATCGAGCAGACGAGTCCGCTCGGCGTCCCGCACGTCTGCCAGGTTGAGCCAGAGGTGGCGCTCCTGGACCACGTTAGTGGCCATCACCTGACCCAGGGAGCGTGCAGCCACTTTAGTCACCCGGAGAGCGAGGTCAGTAGTTCATTAAACGCCCCTGGATCAGTCCCGCCCTTGTGCATGTCCCTGAGCAGCTTTGCTTGAAAAACCTGCAAGGTGCTCATTGCATGCAGGGCAGTGGCCGCCTGTCCTGCAGCTCTATAGGACCTCGCCACCATAGATGACGAGAACCTACAGGCCTGGGACGGGTGCTTAGGAGTACCCTGCGAGAAGGCGCTCTGCGGACACAGTTGCATCGCAACAGAGCGCTCCACCGGGGGAATCCCAGTGTACCCACGGGCATCCGCGCCGTTGAGGGGAGGAAAGGGGATCGCTCACGGGAGGTCAAAGGAGCCTTACAAGTTTTCGTCAGTTCCCCATGCAGCTCGGGGAAGAAAGGGATTGGGGTCGGCTGTGGCCGTGAGGTGGCAGCCTTGCCCAAAAACCAATCATCCATCCGCGAGCGATCGGGGCAGGGCGGAGGGTTCCACTCTAGCCCAATGCTCACAGCGGCCCGAGACAGCATGGCCATCATCTCGGGATCAGACACGAGCAACGCACTCCCGGCGCTCAACGCAGCCGCATCCTCACTTCCCGAGGAGTCTAGCCCACCTTGTGATGCCGTAATCGACATCACATCCTTCTCTGGAGCACCGAATGAAACAGACGGCACCTGCGAAGAGGCACTCTACTAAATCACTGCAGCACTCGCAGGTTGCAACAGGGGGGTGCTGAGGGGGGTGTGGACCGAGGAACAAGCGTCGGATTTTTGTTCCACACCGTCACCGTCAGATCACCCTGTCCGCGAGCCGACGAGCTTCCCCTCAAAGAGGAAGCAGATCGGGTAACGGACGTGGGGACTCTCACTGTCAGATCATTGAGTCTAGATCTCAGCGTTGCGATGGTCATGTTCCCACAAAGAGAACATGAATCATCCACGAGCACTGCTTTTGCGTGCTCGAAGCCCAGACACACAAAACAGCGCTCGTGCCAATCAGAGGAAGACAGGAATCGACCGCACCCAGAAGAACGCGGGCAAACCATCTTTAAAAAGACGTGCCACGTGCAGCTCTTTCATTAGAGAGGAGGAAATTCACTCTTCAGCGCTGAGGCGACCAGGGAGAAGTGCAAAGTCTGGCAGACCGCTGCACAGATCGCAGGCAATGCAGAATCTCGCTGGGTACTGCCGTCACACCAACACTGGAGAGGACGTTCGTCTCGAAGAGTTGAACTCAGTACAATGGCTTGTGGAGTGAAGATGTCTCTTGGCTCCGAAGCGAAAACATACTGCGGTTGCATCTGCTTCCTCCTTTTATACCCACCAGGTGGGGCGGAGATACGCTATGCAAATTCCGTAGACCTAAGGCATTTTCATGCCATTGGCTCGTTTTTTAATACTCGAAGAGGATTGGCTTTCTATGCGAAACCCCCATTCTCCGTCATCCGACGTAACTCGGAGTGACTACGAAAGGGAACAGTGAGATCTAACAGTAAAGGATTTAGTGTGAAAATTTCCCTCAACCATTATTTAAAGAAAGATGCATAGACACAGATCCCTTGTTATCCTATTTACTTTTTATTTAATTAAAGTGATTTTAATGGTGGTGGATAATTTTCATAAAATCAGAAACATCAAAACATTTTTACAAAAAACAAACAAAACAAAAACACATTAGCCAACATGAGACAAGATATATGACATTTAATTGGCTTTATGCCCAGCTAAACTACTTCCTGATCTTCAGCCAGCTCCTTGTTTCCTATCTGCCATTATTGGCCAAATTGATTAATTCAGGTGTGTCTGATTATTGTTGCCATGACTACTGAGGTCAGGCACACCTGGATTAATCAATTTGGCCAATAATAGCAGACAGGAAACAAGGAGCTGGCTGAAGTTCAGGAAGTAGTGCAGCTGGGCATAAAGCCAATTGTACATTACCATAGCATATTTTAAATGATGATTTAAAAATACAAATTATTTTCCTCTGTGGCCATTAAACCATTACAAGACTTAAGTTGCTGAAGTGTTTTTGTTTTTGACAAACTCGCATATGTAGTACTGTGTGGCTCCACAATCTACCTGGCTCCAGCCTCCGGTACTACCAAGCTGCAGACAGGCACCTTTACTGCTGTGTGGCCCCTGCAGAGCCCAGACTGTGGTATTCAAGACGGGGTTACCATCAACATACACATACCCCACCTCTGTCACCCCTACCTGTAGTCCTATGAACACATGAGTAAGATCAGCTTCTCTGATATAGTTGGCCAGCAAGGTGTTTGTCTCTGTAGTTCTGGGCATGGCAAGAGACCCCCCACGCAACTTGCAGTTTAGAAGTGAGTCTTCATACCTCCGTGCTTCTGTCACCAGCAGGTAAAACATGTTTTCAGTCTCCCTAATACCTAGAACCACTTTAAAGACATTGACAAAACATAGAACAGGTTAGTTCCTTGTAAACATTTGTCCTTGTTTTCAGTGGAAATAATTGTGACATGCAATCTGAAGTCACAGAAGTCACACCGTTCTTAAGAAACTTGACCGCATTTCTCAGTTTGCTTATATTGATGTCCATCTGTCTGAAAACCTTTCTGTACCTCCCACAGTCACAGGTCGTACCTGTTACAAAAATTGTTATCACAAACAATAATAAAAATGAAGAAAATCATTTTGAACTCCACGGAAATGAAATTTCCAAACGGAAAACACAGATGATATGACATTTACCAGGTTTTCCTTTTAACCCTGGGAGACCATCAATTCCTTGTTGTCCTTTGTCACCTGTCACAGTAACAGATTAACCGTTATAATTTAATCTCTGTCATTTCATTTAAACATACAGTCTAATAACTAAACATTAGCCTCTAATTATTAATATTGCAAGCACATATCAATGATTTATAGAATCCAGTAATAAGAGTGAATAACCAGTAGGTGGCAGCAGTGCACATCAAGTGAAAAAAGTGAACTACTTCACACTGGTTTCCCCCTTATCTGCAAAGCAAATTATGTCTGTTTCCAACTAACCATATTTTTTCTTTTGAAACATTAGTGTTTTGTGTCCTATTATAAGTAAATCTTTTTTTTCCCTTTTCTTTTTTCTTTTTTTTTCATGCAGTTATGTTCAGAGTAAGTAGAGAATAATTTCAAATTGTGTATCAGTTATTTATTTTTCAAGAGTGCCAAATTTTACTGGTACAGTATTGTTGTGAACTAATTGATGTAGGGCAATAAATACCTTCACTGTCTAGAAGGGCATTAGGACATTCACATAATTAGATCATTGAGCACTCCATTTTGAGTCAACAAGTGCTCTGCACATTTTCAACAAACTTTACAGATCAACTAAAAGTAATCATTACCATTAAATAAGATTCTTTTTGGTTGTGTTTAAGTGTGTTGTTCTCTGTCTGGAATAAATGTTTGAATATGAACTAGTGAATAAAAAGGGCATAGACAAATTAGAAAATACTGCACAACATGGGTGGAAAGGAAAGTTGCCTTCTGTTGATGAATCCCAGACACAGTGTTATCAATATAGCATATAACATGTAAACATAGCATGCATAAACAAACAGCATTCAATCTCTGTTTAGAGTCTAACCTCTCGTTCCCCTAGGGCCCATCTTTCCCATTTGGCCCTTTTCTCCTTTTTCTCCATATTCACCGGTCAGGCCTAAGGAAGAAAAAAACAAAGTTACTGGTTATCTGACTTTGCCAAATTTCATGAAAATTGTCTCAAAATGCTTTTCCAATGGAATCAAAAGCACACTATCAAAGCACAATAAGTCTTGTTATGTGCATACTCTTTTAGCCTCAATCATTGCATTTTGTGTGTGGCGAAATTATATTGTGTCAGTAGTCTTTGATATAAAACTGATTAAATTACATTTTCCAGCTCGTTAAAAGGTTTGAGACAGCTGTTTTTGGGACTGCTCGTGACAGCCTAGTACCAAAGTTCCTAATTAAATATCCATCTGGAAATGGTATAGGCATTCCTGAGTTTTGCGAAGCAATAATACAACTGCCAAAGCATTAATATAGGATGCAATTGCTTTCATTTCTGTACTGCCATTTAATATCATCTCTGTGATTAATCATTTTGGCTGAGTGGCACTGACATATGTTCTCATACTCATATTTTTTTTTTTTTTTTTACAGAATAACGTGTTTGAGTTGCTGTTTGCCATCAGCAGTGATTGCTCCATTTATTCAAATATTTCAGTTATATGGCAAACTATGCTGGAAAACCTGAAAAACAGACAGCATTTATGAAATGATTTGTGGCGTACAGGAACCATCCTTGTGTCTAAACAAAATTATGTGGAGAGGAGGAACTGAACCATCTGAATGTCTCAAAATGATCTTTTCCCCTTGTGTATGATTTTGTGTTTGCTTTGAGGGTGTGAGATTGATTTAAAAACTGGAATGATAATTTACAGTAAAATTAATTAAAGCAGAGTCTAGCATGGTTTTGACAGTCAATCCCATCAGTTCTCAGTTTCTTTTTTTTCTGATAAATTTTTAGCTGTTTTGAAAACATTTTGCAGATATGTTAGGCTACGCTTAGATGCATAGCTAAAAATACAACTAAAATTTGCAGTAAACATTCAAAAACTTAATACCACCGTGGTCACTCTGTAGAGTGAAAAAACAGGCCGAGAGCCTTCCTGGCATTTTGGCTTTTTTCATTTTATTTTTAGTAAAGTACGTTTATGTGTGGAAAAGAGGTCATGTCTTTCTGTGATTGCAATTGCAGGCGTCCTTGGACTGGTTCGATTAACAGCCTGGAAGAGGCTTGTCTGCTGCAGAACTCTACACTTCCATCTTTGAACACATGGCGACACCGCTGCCCCTGGCCTCAATTAACATGTCTGCCTGCCCCTGACGTGACTTCCCTCAAGGGAAGATGTGGTCTGGCAGAAACAGACAGTCTACCAGCTACACTCTGATGCCCAGTGAGGGCAAGGACACATCAAACAGCTAACTTCAGGTCAAACTTAGTACAGTAGTACATGCTACTACTTTTTTGGAGTGGTACATAAGAAGCTACTGTCTAGCAGGAAATTCCAACAGCTTGATCAGTGTGCAGCTCAATTTTATAAAAATACATAATCCACAAAACTCATACAAGTTCACAAAACTCTGGACTACTTATTGTACCAATAGTATTTTAAAGTAAATTTACTTACTTTTTTTATTTTTTATTTTTATTTAATTTTTTTTTTTTTTTGCATTTGGCTTCTAAACTCTGGAGTGTCCTTTCTCAAAACAAGTGTGGTTCAGATAAAAGTTTCTTAAATCTAGATTAAGACACAACTCTTTAGTCATATCAAGTCAAGTACATTATATAGCACTTTTTTATATCCACATTTGGTAGAGCTGATCAAGGGTATTATTGATTGGTTAATTAATTTGATTATCCCCAACTGAGCAAGCCAATGGCAAGGAACCAAACAACTCCATCAAGTGACCTAATGGTGTCCTAAAACTCCATCAGGTGGAGAAAATGGAGAATGGAGAAAAACAAAACAAAAAAAAAAACTTTGGGAGACCCCAGGCTCAGTTGGGGGCCAATTCTCCTCTGGCGTTTATGAACAAGATTTGTCTCTAAACAGACTTTAAACACAAACCTGTGATAAATGCTGATGGCGTTCATATGCGCATTAAGAATTTATTCTATAGTTATGTGCATTTGAATATACGTGTGCCGGTTTTTAATTCCCTCATACCTGAACAAACTACTTGTCCTGTCTATAAATTTGATACAGAATATTACAACGCTTTATCTGTAGAGGGGAAAACGCATTCACATAACACATCTCATAATTTATTACATAATTTATTATTATTATTACAGTTGTGTCTCATGAAAGTGTGAAGTGTCTGAAATAATCCTTCTCCTTTGCTTTCTATTTTGGGATTCTCATACTAAGGATACTAGAGTATTCAAAAACAGATGGATTTGTTAAACTCCATAATATTTTCCGTATTTTGCAATCATTATATTCAAAAGCTGTATTTACTACCTTAATACTGCTTGCTCAGTTGGGATTATTTAGTGTTTAGCAATGTTGTTGATCTGTGTTGTGCTACTTTCATGTTATCAGTGTGAAGCTGCTTTGATACAATCTGTATTGTGAAAAGCGCTATATAAATAAATGTGACTTGACTTAATAATGTGTCAAAAGGCAGCATAATTTTACATCTGTTTAACTGAACATGTGACTTGAATCTTAAAATACGTATTGTTATATGATGACATTATTTTGTTGCCAGAGGAGTATGGGACCCAGATGAGACTGATTCTTTTCAAGATTTTTCTCCAACACCTCACCACCTTTTCACCACACACCTCAAAACACCTTTTTCCTTTGGCAGCTCATTTGTGGCTAAAAGAGATAAATGGACAATTTTTTATTTATCGCTAGATTCCCTGTTCATTATGGCCAAAATGCATTTACCTGAAACAATCTGTTTGAAAAAGTGTACAAAATAAATATTAATGAAATTGAAAAAAAATAATAAAAATCCATTCCCAGCACAGAAAGAGCAACTGCATTATAAAGCTTTATCAAAGCAGCTGATTTGAGTTTACTGGATATTTTGGCTATGAACAGGCATGCTTTAACCAACTTCCCTTTAATCTATCACTGATTCATTAAATAACAAACCAACAACGTCTCAGAGACCTCGCTGGCCAGGTGGACCGGTTTTCCCCACTCTGCCCTCTTCACCGTTTGTTCCCACGTCACCTGGATCACCTGTTATGAAGACAAAGTTAGAGATTGGGGCCTCTCAACAGAAAATGTACAGACAGGTCTTACCCAAACATGCTTCTCAGTTACATTGCAGCTGTTTAAATACAGACAGTTATTCAATATCAAGAAGGGTTGGTTTATTGGCATTGCCAAAAGTATGAGCTGCGGGGAGAGGCATTTCCTCTTAACAGTTTTTTTGTTTGTTTTGTTTTGTAAACAAACTGTTTATATTGTGTAACACACACACACACACACACACGCACACACACACACACGGCATAGACAGAAATAGCATCAGCTCTTTAAATGCTGTCTGTTTGCCGTAATGGAATAATCACTGACATGTTAATGTTCCAGACAACCCTTTGGAACAAAGGCACACTGTAGGGTTTACCAGCAGGTTTTCTGTCATATGAGAAGCTACTGTAGCACATTAAATTGATGATTTCAGCTAACCAATATGACAACAACAAACCAGTTGGGAGCCAACAATGTTAAAAGTGGTCATCAAGTGTCACCTTAAAGAGCTATTTCTAACTGATCTTTCCCTGCAATTTAGATTTGTTAGTGGAACCTAAGTTATTCAGGTTGATACTGTAATGCCCTGCCATGGACAGGCCATCTATCCAGGGAGTTTCCCTGCCTTTAGCCCAAGACTCCGAAATAGGCATCCCCTGCTGTTTGGCAAGTTTGGAGCAGTTTGGAGAATAAATGTTATTCAACATTAATATCAAATAACATTTACATTAATTTAGATGTTACCACATGAATTATCATATCATAGCAATTCTTTTCGCAAAGTGAAGGTTATTTATCCAAACTAATAATGATAATGTTTGACCTGAGCAAATAATAATCATAATAATAATAATAATAAACTACAAACTGGCTGTTCTGAAATCTGTACTATAAAAACATGTTAAAAGATTATTAAAAAGGTGATAAAATAATCTTTTTTCATAAAAAAAAAACACAAATACCTTTTGATCCAGGGATAATGCTGTTGGAGCAAATTTCAGTTGTATTACAATAAAGGTGTACATTACAAAGTAATAGAAATAATAAAAGTTTCCTGCTAAAAGTGTGTACATCCATGACTTGAATTGGAAACTTCGTTCTGTTCTCAAGAGAGTGAAAAGGGAGTTTAACATATGTTTACCAGACCTTATCATATCTGTGTTTAGCTTTCAAACAACACTGTCCAGACTATCTCCTTGCACTGCACGTGAGGAATTTGGTTGTGTAAAAAAGTGTTGCCACCACCTAATTGAGTTGGCTTGTGAAAGCCAACTTACTGAAATCCTATTTAAACTTATTATTCTTCTTACTCAGAAATTTCTATCCATCTATCTATCTATCTATCTATCTATCTATCTATCATCTATCTATCATCTATCTATCTATCTATCATCTCTTTCTATTTTCTAATAATCTTTCTTTCTTTCTAACTATTATTTCTTTCTAACTAATCCTTCTATCTATCTATCTTTCGAACTAATCTTTCTTTTAAACAAATCAATTTTTCTTTCTTTCTAACTAATCCATCTTTCTTTCTTTCTAATCTTTCTTTCTAACTAATCTATCTTTCTTTCTTTCTAAACTAATCCATCTTTCTTTCTTTCTAACTAATCCATCTTTCTTTCTAACTAATCTATCTTTCTTTCTAACTAATCTATCTTTCTTTCTTTCTTTCTTTCTATCTAAATTCTAACTAATCCTTCACTATGGTAACCCGGCAAACATGTGACTATGGCGGCTTGTGTCTCTTTTTTCATGTTTTGTGTAATAGAATCACCTGTATCATTTCCACCAGTACATCATCGATTCCTGCTTCTTTCCCAGGTTTCAGACTGCTCATTGCAGCTTCAAGTTCTTGTGGATCGAAAGGCTTGTTGAGTGCTCTGGCGGGGTTGTGGGTGGTCAGGACCGGTACCGCTGTTCCGCGGTATTCTCTTGTGGGTCTGTGCCGTTTTTGGCTGTGGCTGTTTGCCACCAGTCCTGCTACTGAGTTTGCTGTGACTGTTGTGAGTGTAGAGTGATCTTCCCCGACTTTGTTCAACAGGATATCTCCAAGTTCCATGGTGGTGGGGGAGAAGGGGTCCTCATGGTATGGCTTTCCCCGTGATAGGCACAGCACTGTAGTACACCATATTGAACTTTTGACCAATAAGACATCTCTTCATTTACTGCTATAAATTGATAACTGTCAGATAAGTATGATTTAAACCAGTGGTTCTCTCCCAGGGGGGCGCGAGTAGACTACAGGATGGGAGGGGGGAAAAACTGGGAGGAAAAAAAATTACATTTTTTTATCACTAAACTACTGTCATAAAAAGTTATAGTTTTGTATATACATAACTACTGAATAAAAATTTAAATGTGTTTGTTTGGACTGATTTAAAAAAAAAGTTTTGAACAAATTTAAATTGGTTTGTCGATACACAGCAAATTCTGTTTTTTGGAATAAACTCCCTGTTAGTTAAAATCAACTCAATCTGAGTGTACATGTGAGACCATCAATTAGACTCCAGCGCAGAGTTAAAATAACTCTGCCCTTGGAGTTGAATTTTTAACACTTTTTTTCAGAGTTAAAATGGAGTTAAAATACTAATCCTACAGAGAGTAAATGTAACTCTAAAATTAATTATATGAACTCATTACCAGTGTTACCAGTTTAGTTTAACACTTCTTAGAGTTAACATTTATTTAACACAATATAATGTTTTGTGTGGAAATTACTACACTGGACACCATACTCTTGATTAACTGCCTTTATTTGAGCAAATCCATTTGGTTCAGACTTGAGGAGGAGTAACCTTCAACCGCTTGCTGCAGGACAGTCGTCTGAAGATCACAAAATCAACAGCATGAGGCATAATATAATCTAGCACCATTCATTGAGAATGCAAAAATATATAAGCTGAAAATCACGCACATCGTGGGTCACCAATATAGCCTAACGTTACATAGCTGTTACAATTCAATTGCCTGTAATGCATTGATGCATCAATTTCACGGCAAAACACTCATTTTCAGAAACACGGTGAATGGAAAGACGGTTAGCTAATGTTAACTCGTTTACATCGACAAAAAACCCACGCAAATAGCCATTTCAAAATTTGAAACAAGTAATTTAAACATGCGTTCAACAGCAAGTTTGTCATGGTCGTTGACGTTAATTAGTAAACAAACTAGCCTGTAACGTAACAGCTACGCGATGACCAAACGTGTTTGTCAGAAAATATATTTTTTAAATAGTTTTATATAAGTTACACTTTTACCTACCTCACGACGAAGCGTAAGTCCATTATTCCTTTGTGCAGCGGCAGGGTCGTGTCGTGGCGCACTTCTCAAAAATAACTCCAGGTGTAGTGTTAAAACACGCTCCTGAACACCAATGAATGAACTCCAAAATACAACACAGCCGGGGAGTATCCAATAACACAAACCGTGGTCAGAGTTAAAAAAATAACTCCAAAAAATTAACTCTTTCACACTTTTTTGCCTAACTCATGATTTTTCAACTCCTGAAATTTGCTGTGTAGTGCGCGCAAATGCATGGTGATAAGCGGTTTTATTACAGTATTTCTGAGTTGCTAAAACACTAAAATCCATTTGCAAAACCAAAGTTGCAAGTGTACAAACCACTTTATTGATTGAATCACACAGTTTGCAGAACTTTGAACACTTCTCATGTGGTTAGACACAACTAGCAAATCAGAATCACTGTTTGAGCAAAACTGTAAACACATTGTCATTCTCAAAGCACATGTAGCATTGTGGTGCACTTCAACTCAGAATGGCACAACACAGCCCCAAAAGTGAAATACAAGTAACACACTGTTGTCATCGGTAACACACAATCACTCAAAATTGAACACACCTGTTTCAAATCATTAATGTGTTGCACCTAATCAGTAATGTGAATATAAAGCCATGTCAAATCCAAATGGCATGTGTGATTTTCACAATGGAGGGCATGAGAGAAAGTGGAAGTGGAAGTGGAAGTGGAAGTGGACGTGGACGAGGAGGAGGAGGAGGAAGAGACAGAGGAGGAGGAGGAGGAGGAGGAGGAAGAGACAGAGGAGACAACGGAGGAGGAGGAGGAAGAGACGGAGGAGGAAGAGAGAGGAGGAGGAAGAGACAGAGGAGGAGGAAGAGACAGAGGAGGAGGAAGAGATGGAGGAGGAGGAGGAAGAGACGGTGGAGGAGGAGGAGGAGGAAGAGACGGAGGAGGAGGAGGAAGAGACGGAGGAGGAGGAGGAAGAGATGGAGGAGGAAGAGGAGGAGGAAGAACAAGAGCCATCATTTCCAATGAAATTAGAGCAACAATCATACACCATGTTCTGGTTCATGGAATGAGTATGAGGGAGGCAGGACTACGTGTCATATAAGCAGGTTCTCTGTGGCCTCCATTGTCAGGACATTCAGAGAAGAGAACCGGTAAGTGTACTATCATTTATGGTCCCTCAAACTTACAGTACAGTATGTACAGTTGTGGAACGTCTCAGTAAATTACTGTAACATCACCACAAATTGACCCTTTTCTAGCAGTATTACAGTAAAACTAATAGTATTACTGTAAAATATATATTTAATGTATTGTACATTTTGGTGACATTGCATTAGGTCTGTTTGTACAATTGTAACAAGCGGTTTTATTTGCTAGAATTGAAAGACCATGATATCATTGTCAATATGGTCCTTCAAAATAATCTCATTCGTCTGCGTGAAATAAAACAGCGAGTTGAGGAAGACAACGAGAACTTTGAAGGAATCAACAGTGTGAGTCTCTCCACAATTGACCGTGTCCTGAAACGCAACCTGATAAGTCTCAAACAAGCCTACCGCGTACCATTCGAGAGAATTTCTGAGAGGGTAAAAGAGCTACGATATCAATATGTACAAGTAGTAATCATGTTCAGAGATTATACAGCACTATTGAGTTTCTGTACATCTTCACTGTTGAATGAAATGCAGCACATGTATACAAAGCCATGAAGCCTGGAATGCTATATCATTTATGTTATATCAAAAATGTACTTATTTTCATTTCTATAGAGAATGTTGAACTGGATTCCATGGAGAGGCCTCATGAGTGCATCTTCTTGGATGAAGCTGGCTTCAATCTTGCCAAGAGGAGAAGAAGAGGCCGCAACATTATTGGTCAACGAGCCATTGTAGAGTTGCCTGGGCAGCGTGGTGGCAACGTGACCATATGTGCTGCCATCAGCAGCTACGGGGTCATTCACCGCCATGTGACTTTGGGACCTTACAACACTGCCCATCTTACAGTTTTTTTGTATTCGCTTTGATTTATCTTAGAAGTTACTACAACTTCCTGTTTCATGGCGAATCATCGATGCCACGGACACGCCCATCAACGAAAACGCGCAGATAGCACAACTTTACATCGTCAATGCCTTTAGAAGGCACAGCAGTAATTTGAAGTTGATCCGACTAAATCCCTAGGAGGAGTTCGTTAAAGTACGGAGTGTGTAAATCGTCCCAAATTCGTCACCAAATTCAAAATGGCGGACTTCTTTGCGGGCCTCTTGTCAAATGTGTAAAATTTCGTGCAGATCTGGGCATTTACAGCCAAGTTACTACAACTTCCTGTTTCATAGCGAATCATCGACGCCACGGACACGCCCATCGACGAAAACGCGCAGATAGCACAACTTTACATCGTCAATGCCTTTAGAAGGTACAACAGAAATTTGAAGTTGATCCGACTAAATTACTAGGAGGAGTTCGTTAAAGTACGGAGTGTGTAAATCGTCCCAAATCGGTCGCCAAATTCAAAATGGCGGACTTCCTGTCGAGTTTAGGGTATGGGTTCTTGAGGCTTTTTTGTGCGTCTGGTCATGGTAGATGTACCATAGAAATTTCGTACATTTCGGTTAAACAAGTGGCGGGGGCTGCTTCGTTAAAGGTCACTTCCTGTTGCCAGCAGGTGGCGCTATGACTGTGGGTGAATGTCGGCATTTAGATTTGTTCAGGGCGGGACTCTTGTCAAATGTGTAAAATTTCGTGCAGATCTGGGCATTTACAGCCAAGTTACTACAACTTCCTGTTTCATGGCGAATCTTCGACGCCACGGACACGCCCATCGACGAAAACGCGCAGATAGCACAA